AAATGTATCAGAAGGTGCGATCGTCAATCATCCCTTACATCTCGAGGAGAGAGGGACAGTTGCAAAAGATCCATCCATTTTGACAACGGCTGGTTTATGGTACGCCTCAAATAAAACCCATATGGTGCAGGTACCGTGACCCATTTTCTAGGGCTGTGATTTCTATAAAGCGTCAACCTTCAACAATCAAGTAAGGCGTACCTCTAAATCTTGCTAAAAGGCATAATCTGGTGGTGAAACCTTTATAAGGGCCCTAAAATTTATAGGAAAATTATTCCATGCTTTTAATTTTTAAACCCAGGAGACTCAACGTTTTAAAACCTTTTTTTAGGTTCCAAACTTTTGTATCCAACCCAAATAACCTCTTGATCATATATATTATTGACCCAAACTAATCATAAAATAACAGTCTTTTTCATCTTAACATCTCTCTTCATAAAATAACAGTCTTTTTCATCTTAACATCTCTCTTTCTCTATGACCCCTGTCTCTCTCTCTCTCTCTCTCCGCGATCGTACGTCTCTCTCTCTCTCTCTCTCTCTCTCTAAGATCATAACCTTCGACCTCCGCCACCGCCAACCACCACCCAAGTGTGGATGGTAACGTCCAACCTCCGTCACCACCAACAAACTCCGTACTTGTATTCAATTTTCCAGCCACCCCACTACTGAGATCAGTCCAAATTACGTCGTTTTGCCCACTGGTTCTCTATCATAAACCAGCATTTTTGCTATTTTTCCAGCCACCCAATATGAGTCTCTCCCTCTTTGGTTCTCTATATTTCTCTCTCCAACAATAAATTGTTGCTCTTTTTTTGCTCGCCACATTCTCTATATTTAACTATAAACCACCAGTTTTTGCTATTTTCCGGTCACCTCATTGCTCGCTTTTTTTCTCTCTCTGGAAGTCTCATCCCCCACCCAACTGGATTTTAATGGATATTTCAGGCTTCTCTGGTTCATAATCCATAGTGTTTTCCACTAAAACTAACTCTATCGTGTCACCAATTGACCTTTTCTCCCCCTGTCGGAATCTGGCTCCAGAAATCTCCTGTTTTCTGGCAATGGAGACCTCTCCCGTTGTTTGTATAGTCTTGCTCGGTGGGCAATCTTCTGAAGATGCATACACAGCGGCACCAGATAATTTGAGAAAGTGCGAGAAAGTTCTCTGAACCAAATCGAAATGGACTCAAAAGGAAGAAGAGACCTTCAAACCATCAGCTTAATCGGATAAAAACAAACCATCAGTTCAGAACCAGGATCGGGGGTTTCATTTGTGACCAACAACCTATAACTTAAATGAAAATCTTATAAAAAACACAAAACAATGGAAGGAGGAGGGATAAATCTGTTTTTTATTCCCCAAAGATTAACATAAACTCAAAATGAGAGAGAAAATAAAACAAGAAAATGAGAGAGAAACCATACGCAAACAATTTCCTGCAGGGTTTAGACTAAAACCATGGGCTCAAAACCAGATGTAATAGAGAAAAGTCCAAAAACAAAAGAAAACCACTGCAACAATCCCTTATTTCTCCTCACTCACCTGCTCCGCTGAATTTAATCATCCATTACCATTTACCAATTTGGTTATACCTCAAATCCCTTATTTCTCCTCACTCACCTGCTCCGCCGAATTTAATTATCCATTACCATTTACCAATTTGGTTATACCTCAAATGGTAGTTAGTGCTTGACGCAGAGACCAATTCACGGTAGAGACAGAAGATGGAGAAGAAGCCTTTAGAGACGATGAAGATGGGGGAAGATCGATGAGCAGAGGCAAAGCAGAGAAGAGGCAAAACACAGCTCACCCATGCCAAAGTCGCCGGATTTTAGTCCGGCATCGTTTCTCCTAAATAGACCGTGAAAATTGTACCGGACCGGATTTTACTCCTGCATCCTGTCTCCCAAATATGCCCTGAAAATTGTACGTGAATTAGTTGTTAATGTATTGAGTGTGAGAAAAAAAAGGGGTGTCATTTTATGATATGCTTGGGTCATCTAGTCAAAGGTTTATTTGGGTAAGGAAGGAAGTTAGAATATACAAAAGTTTGCAACCCTGTGATCAGTGCTAAAAAATATGATAGATTAAGCAAACATATATAAGAAATTCAAGCTCAAAAAATATGGTAGATTAAGCAAACATATATAATAATAAAAATAAAAAAAAAGGCTCAAAAAATATGGTAGGTTAAGCAAACACATATACTAATAATAAATAAATAAATAAAAGATGTTTAGATTTGAGCCCTACTCTTCGGTGCGAATGGAATAGGAGACTTCATCATATGACTTATTAGTACTACCATCAAAACCCCAGCCCATTCTCAATGTAAACATATAAACATTTAAGATTTTTTAAAATAAACAATTTAGATAATTGTCTTTCACTTTCTTATTTTCTTTTGAATATTACCTACGATTTTCATTCCCTCAAAGACAATTACCCTGGGAGATTACAGGAGAGATGAAATCACCAATGATGGTCGGTGAACTCCCCTTTTGGCAGGAGCATGAGCCTCGGAGTTTCCTTCTATATAATGAGCGAAAAAATTCCAAAAAGATTAGAGAGAATTCACGTTGGACGTGAAACCCTCCTAAATTTTTTGTTTATTTTTCGAACCTTTTTTAATATTCTTTTAGGTCCCACCCAAATCTCCTATTCCCCATCCCCTATTTCCCCATCCCCTATAAACGTTTATTTTTTTTGGGGATAGTTGTAACCCTTTAAAATGGACTTTTTAGGCGCTTTAACGCCACCCAATTTTTTCTAGCCAATATCCCAATACATAAGTTATTTTTTTTTAGACGAAAATACTCTTTTCTCATTAGAGGGCAATCCGATATTTTGAACAGGTAGTCCGGTGAATATTTTTGTTGAAATGACCCGTCCGACGTTTCATAGGAGCGGTCCAGCAGGGATGTCCAGCTATTATTTTTTGCAGTCCGATGATTTGATATAGATATCCGGCATTTTGAAGGGACAATCCAGCATTTTGAAGGGACAGTCGAGCATTTTCGTATGGAGATTCAGCATTTTGAAGGGGTAGTCTAGTATTTTGAAATGGTATTTTCATTTTAATGGGATCCGAAAATGATTTGTTACATAAGAGAAAGGTATTTTCATCAAAAAAAAAAAAAACTATTTGTATAGAGGTATTTATTAAGAAACATGATCGCCATTGTACAAGTGTTGCCCAGCGTTTAATTTTATTGGGATCCAAAAATGATCCCTTCATAAGTGAAAGGTATTTTCATAAATAAATAAATAAATAAAAAACTTTTTGTATTGGGGTATTTGCTAAGAAACATGATCTTTTATGGGAAGTTGTTAGGAAAAGTTGGGTCTTTTGTGAGAGTTGCTATGAAAAGTTGGGTAGTGGTGAATTACATTGCTGAACGTTTCATTTTATTGGGATCCGAAAATAATTTGTTACATGAGAGAAGGATATTTTCGTCAAAAATAATAATAACTTTCTGTATAGAGGTATTTGCTAAGAAAGATGATCTTTTGTGGGAAGTTGTTAAGAAAAGTTGGGTGGTGGTGAAGCATTTTGAAGGGGTTTTTTACAATTTTTCCTTATTTTTTTCTATATCGCTAGTCTGGATCGAACTAAATCAACAATGAGAAGATCCCACACACATCTATGGGTGCATGATCCTCTCCATAATCAAAGTTTTGAAACAATGGATAAAGGCATAGAATAGGACCATCATAATCGGTTGAAGGATTGAACCGGTTTGCCGCCCAGTCGGCCTGATGAACTACTCGGTGGACTGGCTGGTCCAGTCCGGTCTTCTATCTCTGTTCCAAATGCAATATTGCTGAAGATGTCCATCAAGCCTCACGCTCTCTCGCAATCTCTCTATAAACCGACAACTACTCAAAAGTGGTTTAAAACTTCGCATATGATCTTGGTTAAACTTCAGAATGACGCTCCTAAAATTTTCTGTTAAATACTATGAAATTTTGCGGCATGATAGAATAGCTAATTTTTAAACTATAACCAACAGTGGTACAGAATTGTTCGCCCTACGGGATGAATTTTAAGTTAAATTTCGAATGAATAGATTAATTGTACTTTGCAACAACACCACACTTATCCAAAATTAGATTCTATGAGAATCCCCTATTGGAGTTTTTGTTTATCAGAAGGAAATGATGGAAGTATCAATGGGCGACAGACTCAGCCTTCACTATCTTTTTGGGTTGGGTTGGGTTGGGTTCAAGCTGTACAAATCATGAGCATGGGCCGCCTAACATTATTTATGGGAAGCCTCTAAATGGGCTCAAGCTGTACAAATTATCATGTGTTATCCTATAAGAAGTCGGCACACCCAATTTTTATGTCAAAATTATTTGTAATTTTTTTTTTTTAAATAAAATATTTTGAGCCATCCAATGAACAAAAGCTCAAATGCTAATTTGTAATATTATAACTACAGTTATCCCAATCATCTATTCAGATTTAATGGTTGAGAATAGCAGTCACGTGTTTTATGTGGATGGCGCCACATGTAAAAGCTTTCCTTTTTTGTGAGGACTGGACATGAGTCAAGTAAGCCCATGCAACACCAACTAATGGCACAACCAACTGGGACTAGCTTTACTAGGCTGAGACCCCATATCTTCCCATTCAGCAACCTTCAACAAGGATGGTTAGACATTAGAACCACAGAAACAATTAAGTTACCAAGTTCGAAGCATTTCCCACTATAGTTTTCAAGGTTCAAGTCCTCATTAAGAGAGACATGGTCTCTAATTTTAAGAAGAAAAACATTATTCACCTAATTTTCACATAACCACCTTGCTAGAGGTGAAGGGTTACAGTAGATGTATAGGATGGGATCAATAGAAACAACAGGTCCATTTGGGTATGTAGTACCATTATAGATATTTTAAATGTACGCCATGCTCTATGCACCAGTTTGCCCTAGGATGCATTATTTATCAACCTTTCTCATGGGTGGCAGATATTTATATAAGAGTGATAGAGCTGCATTTGAAACTACTTACATATGAACATATTTTAAAAGCTACATGTATCTAAATGCTATACAAACTTCTCAATTGAAGCAATATATTACAGACACGAGATTTGTTAATACATATACATGGAGGATACAAAATATTGGATAAACCTCTTGTCAACCTGAGAAGATAATTTCACACCCAGGCTAAGAGCAACTTGCCTTTCCCAAGTAATAATTTACTAGCACTTGGAGCTGATCTTCTCATTCTGTGAGAATAGAGGTACATGAAAAGTAGAAATTAATGCGTAATACCTCCATGCATGGGGAAATAAGAAGAAAGCACTTCATATCCAAAGATAAACAAATTTACATAGAAATCGAAGTACTAGTTGTAAGACAGTTCATTGCATGAAAAGTGCATAGGGTGTGAAGCATAACTAAATATTATGTTCGTCAACATTTTAATTTGAGCAGGTATGAATGTTATGATATGCGTTGTAACCTACACTTTAGCTGAAAGGCATGAGCTGCCGGTTGTGCTGGTGATGCAATAAGTAATCTGTTAAATTGAATAGTTAGACCCTTCTATGAGTAGAATATGTGGTAGTTTCATTTTTTACATTTAAACATTTCCTGAAGGTATTTCTTGAGCTGACATAAGCGTTGAGATGATGGTTGATGTCAACCGACACTGTTAGCAGTGCCTTGCTTTGATTTTGCTGAGAGGTGGTTTCAATAGTTGCTTAAACTGACTGGTTTAACACGCCACTAAGTTGTGCAGTAGTTTCTTTCACATTATCTGAGGCAGAGCAAAACTCTGTTTCGTGCTTTGCCAAAAGAAGAAACTCTATTTCCTTGATTGATTTTTGTGAACCTTCTCTAAAAGTGTGCTGTACGAAGATTGATTAAGCACATTGTGCCCAGTAGACCACTTCTGGACAAACACATTGTGATGAACAAACTGTCAAACACACAAAGAGGTTGAGGAAAAATCACTTTTATTGACTATTATCAACATGTATATATAATACAGCCAGTAGTAACTTGCACAACAAGATAAGTTACAATAAGTAACTTGTTATACATGATATATATAAAATAAATACAAGATCTTCAAGTATCTATACACTCCCCCTCAAACTGAGATTGGTTGAACAACATCAATTTGTCAATGAGATAGTCGTGACAAGCACGAGTCATTGCCTTGGTAATGCACAGCAAGATAAGTTACAATAAGTAACTTGCTATACATGATATATATAAAATAAATACTAGATCTTCAACTATCTCTACACAAACCTCATCGGCATGGCCTGAAGAGCCTTATGATTCTATATGGCAAAGATCAATCTGGATGTCCCAATTGGTTTAGAGCCAGCTACTCAACACTAATCTAATGTCCATTAAGTACTGAGAAAATCAGAAAATTTTAACAAGCACCAAGGAATTCACTTTTTTAATAATCCACCCAGAACTATTGATCATCAAACCCTCCTCTAATCAGCTTTTCTGCCAATGTTTTCGGTGGCAGAATCAAAAGCAGTGGATAAATGATTAAAAAAGTTGGTGGCCAAATGTGATGCAATATAAGACTCTGGCTACTTTTTCCTTATCAAGAAGACTAGTTTAATACCATGCTATTAATTGTACATGTAGATGGTGTTATGGTTACATGCAATGATTCAAAGGTCATTAATGAGTTACAGAAGAACTTGCATGACAAGTTTGACATGAAGGACATGGAAGCCATCTTATCAAATTCGCTTTGGGGAGCTCTTCGTATTGTCTGGGAAAAAGAAGCACTTCAAGTCTTTGGCTAATTCAAAAGGAAATCTTTGGGTGTATTTCTAAAAGGAAAAATTATGTATGGACCAGATTTTCCACCCAATATCATGGTCTGATCCATATTTTGCCTAAATTTACGTGAAAGACCCCAAATGACACCCCCCATTCCCCTACCCTCCCTACCCCCTCAAAAAAAAAAAAATTCCTCAGTGGGCGTCGGCCCTTTTTTTGACAATTTTGTCCTCCTATCAGACATTTATAACTTAGGACAAGTAGGAAATTCACCCCACTGTCCAAGATTTACAACATAGGACAGATGAAAATTTACAATATAGGACAGGTGGGAAATTCAGACCTCCTCCCCCAAACATCTCCTCCCCTAAATTTACGTGACAGACCCCAAACAACACCTCCTCCCCTAAATTTACGTGAAGGACCCCAAACAAACACCCCCATTCCCCCCCTCCTCCTCAGCCCCCAATGGGCAGCGGCTCTTTTTTTGCCAATTTTGCAGCCTAAATTTACACGAAGGACCCCAAACCACCACCCCCTCCCCCCATATAAAAAGCCCCAAGTGGGCGGCGGCCCTTTTTTTTCCTATTTTGCCCGCTGTCAAACATTTCCAAAATAGGACACACCCCACTGTCCAAGATTTCCAACATAGAACAAGTGGGAAATCCACAATTTTTTTTATTTTCTATTGAGTTTAAAAAATTCTATTTTCTATTAATTTTTTAAAAATCCTCTATTTGAAATGATGCCAACATGTTCAAAAATAAAAAGATAATTTTTATTTTTATTTTTCAAAACTAAATTCTCTATTTATTTTTGGACACGGTGTCTGTGCGGCCAGCCTGCATATTATAGAAATGAGACCTTGACAATAAATATGTTTTTTAAATATAATTTGATCTTAATTTTTAAAGAATATATAACATTAACATGGAGATCATGAATATGAAAAAAAAAAAAAGTGAAAACTAGAAATAATAGTTATATTAAGAAAACATTTGGACCGTTAGTTACAATTGTTTTTAGATGAACCACCTATTGCATCAATCTTTAAGATGGATGCTTTATACCTTTGGATCGCATATTATAGAAATACGGTCTAGCCCACATGAAACAATTTTCTTTTATTTTTTAATATGTTGGCATCATTCAAAAATAAATAGAGGATTTTAAAAAGGAAATAGAAAAACAGAATTTTTAAACTCAATAGAAAATAAAAAATGGTTAATCTCCCACCTTCCCTATGTTGGCAACGTCGGATGGGGGGGGGGAACCCGGTAAAAATAAACTGCCAACAAGGCTGGGGGAGCGTCTCCACGTAAAGATAGGAAAAATATGGATCCGACTGTAACATTTGGGGGGGGGGGGGGGATCTGGTCCCTTTGTGATTTTGCCTCTCTAAATTTAAAAAAAAATCAAAAATAAAAAAAGATACATACAAGCAGGCATTTGTTTAAATTTTTAATGTATTGGTGGGATTTTCTGAAATATACTAGGTACGTATTTTAAATTTTGAATAACTGGTTGATGTTCTTAAAATATTATGGCCATATTCAATATATCAATATTTGATTTGATTTACTTTGGTTTAGGGAATGAAGCTAAAGACTTAATCCAATGTAGCAAAGCAAAGTGAAGCTGACAACATCGGAGGGAACATTTACTATGTAGTAATAGATGCGGCAACTAAATAACAAGACTTCTCCTTTTCTTTTCTTTTGTCTTTATGGGTAGTCCAGCAATAGAAATATGAAGAAGATGCTCTCACAACATGTTAAGTGACACCATATGATATTTCATCAACTTAAAATTATCAGTAGCATAATTACTTCAACGATAGTCAAGGTTACAAGTGTGTATTGTGGGCTGGTTGTGACCACATATATCTAACATTTAGCAATTGGGCTACCTATGCAATAAGCATTACAAACTAATTCATGGAAGATCTTATAATACAATATTTTGATGTTTACAGCATATTACAGGACACAAAATCTTAATAGCAGCAGTTAGCTCATTCCAGGCCATAGATGACATAAGAGTCATAGTATTTTGCCATAAATACAATGATCAGTAGCCAGTTTGCCAATCCAACTCAATGTTGGCAATCTATTTCAAGGTAACTAACGGAGTCATGAGAACTTCTTGCATCATGTGTCTTAAGTTAACATTGTTATATAAATCTTCACAAATACAACAGTCAAGAAGGCATCCTTAGTTTTAACAGTCAGAATGCAACTGTTGTACCTCCCCAGCAAGCGGAAGAGCATACTCACCTTGCTTTTCTAGTAGTAATTTGGTGGAGTATAGGTTGTTTTCTTCTTTTTTTTCTTTGTTTTCCTCTCCTTTTTTCTTGTTTGATCAGTAATAGACTATCTAGGGAGTACTCTGGTCATCTGATAATGATTTTCATTTATATGCAAATGTGTCGAAGAAAAATTTAGTCTTTTATATGGGTTTCATCGCACACTTAACTCACCTAAGGATGCGTATAAGCACCATTAACTTATAACAGCATAGCAAACATAACATTCAGCACAAGATAAAAGATCATTTTAAAAAATTGTTGCATCTACACAGGATAGAAGGATGCAAGACACAGAAGTGTACCATAGATCTACCCCTTTTAGTCCTCAAAGACGGTTATCAGACGTGCTCCAGAGTCATATATTAATGGAGTTGCACAACTGTTAAAAAACACATAAAGGAATCCAACAGTAAGGAAACTAAATGCAAGAAACTCGCTAATTTGCATAAATAAACAAAGATATGAGTGCTTGATCAAATATTCATTTATTAACAATCAAAATCAAATGATGTAATCTTCAAATATCAAAGCTTACTTTGAGCATTTAACATTATTTGTGGAGCCACCACTAGATACCGTCAGTATTGTCCCAAAGAAGGAGACATTCTCTGTTGCACAATTTGGACAGGGTCCCTAAAATGGAAATTTATCATTTTACTTTTTATCTTTAAAATAATGATAAACGAATCATTTCAGTGAAACACACCAGGCACAAAAGGAGAATCAACCTCATACCTTCAGGATTAGAAAATCTTTTAGAATGACATTAGTGATTGACTGCGCTCCCCAGAATATTAGTGGCAAAGCAGCAAACCATGTGAAAATGAAGCTGAATGGTTCTGGCAGCTGGAAGATGAAAGATATTCAAATAATTAAATTTATTATTAATCCCAGCAAATGAAAACCAAAAGAACCCCCGATGTGATTCAAGGCTCTGAAAAATTCAAGGATTCTAAGAAAAGCATCTGTGTCCTATGTTGCACGCACTAAAATCTTGTGTCCAACATAAGACAATATGGTGGTGACCGCTGACCGTATGCTGGACAGTTGCTGCTAGGTGTAGCAATTTAGTCCTAAGAAAGTGATGAATCTTTCTCAGGGAAGATATAGTTTTGTAAATAATAGAGAAGTTAATAAATATCTGTTTAACAATATCAAGGAAAGAACACAATTATACAACAATTTAACTGAATTTAGAGGATAATTTATGATCGTCCCTTTACATTATTACAGGTGCAGTTGTCCTTACTGCTCTCTCGCAATGCTAAATTCAATATATAACTAAGCGCATTCCAGATTATTGTACGTATCATTATAGTGTCAATAAGGATGATAAAAAATTAATATTCATGTTAGTTGTCTATTTGCAATGGAACAATTTACTAGTTGAAGATGCAGGTTTTCACAAGAAGACTCTTGATAAGTTAAAAAGAATATTCCAATAATAGAGTCTAGGACAATTAGCATGATATGTTCGCAAGGATACAATTTCATAGATTATGTTCACCTTTTTGAAATTCAAGCAGTTGTTAAACAACCCAAATTTAGTTATGAATGGAAAATTAAATGTTAAAGATAAATTTTATGACGAAGCAAAATTTAAAAATAAGACTATGTTATAGAATTGATATAATTTCAATAAGAAGGTGTTAATCATAAAGAAAATTAGACATTAATCTTTAAAGAAAATTATTTTACATGTGCAATGCCATAAGCAACAAACATGCACATCTCAAAAGGGATGTTAAGCACATATTCACCTCCATAATATATGTTATCTCAAATCCTGTCAAATCATCTAGAAAGAAGAACCTGTACACAACCAAGAAAGAGAAAACAATCATCTCTTTATAATATTTTTAACAATTTTATGCTAACCAATCAACACTCAAATACCTGCTATTACGCAAAAAGAGATAACTAAAAAAAAAAAGAATGAGATCATTTACATCCAATGCTCTAGTTTAAGCACAAAAAACCATACATTTGAGTACATATATTAATGCTTAATCTCACCACATGAAAATGGGATGACAAAGTATTTCACCTATTTATAGCTCCAACAAACATAAGGTTCTACAATTTGTAGTAGAGCATTGAATGACTGAATCTCTAATGAAGTCGAGGGTAGAATGTTATAAAAAGTCCCAAGTAAAAGAGCAACCCAACTCTCTGTAGGAAAAATCGGGCAGTTCAAATCCTAACCGCCCAGTTAGACTCGGTTAGATTGGAATTGACCACTGTCCGGTTCCAATTTTGGCTGGTTTTGGTGAACTGGCTGGGTATTTTAAAAAAATATTCAAAAATATTATATAAAATCCCAAAAAATAAGCGATTTTATTTGCAATACATTTTTTAATGTTTACATCATTTTGGAAAAATTGGAAATTGTTTTGGCCGTTAATATTTATTTTTATATTTTTCTTTTTGAAAAATTTCAAAAATACCCCTGGGCACAAATCAATTCTTTAAAATCCATTTTTTTATTAATTTTAAACTTAATTTGGATGTGCTTTATTTAATCATTCTTTAAATATACACTGACCCAACTTTATAAGCATTCCAAAACAACTTCCCAATGAATAAATATAAACAGTTGTTTCCCATTATTCAAACTACAACCTGTCTTGATTCACCATCAACTATGTTGCATGCTCTGAATTCTACATCGTGTGAAGGATTTCAAGGCAATGTTAGGGGTTGCTGAAGTGGGTTCCAGTCGCCATCCACAGATTGACAGAACACAGCCACTAACTTCCTTAAGTGGTACTCTTGAGAAACACTGAATGCCTTCACCATCATTGTTTGCTTCCATGCGTCAGATTTATGGAAGAAAGAGTACTCACCATTATCAATTCAATGAAACCTTATCAATATCATACATCAATATTGATATGGATAAAATGTCAATAAAATGTATTTCATGATACATGTATTGCCATGGCAACAAATCAATGGGAGCACTAGGCTCTAATCACATTAAAATGTTTGCTCACACTAAAACATTTACTCCCTATCCATGGTAACTACTATTATCATTGGCAATAGGTCAGCTTGCCAAGTAGATAGAATACTTGTCTTTGCTAGAGTGTGATAGCTTCTAAATCGGAATATTTTTCAAGTGCAGGTGATTCCAAAAGTTGGTTATCTATTTCCCCAATTATTATTTACGTTTGGCACTTATTGGACTCATATTGTCATTGTGAAGGACATGATTACCAAGAAAGTAATAGCTAAAGGGCGACTATGGACTTTTCTGATAGATTTGTCATAGATAATGTCTTTCAATAGCAATGTAGGGAGTCCAACAAGAGTGCTTTTGCAATGGTTTCAAATCCCATCTTCGATGCCCTAGCAAAGCATGTTGAAGTTCACTATCCCCAAGAGAAGGTGGCGGTGACGAATTCTATGTACATTATTATGTTACATGTCTTCTCCAATAAGCGGCAATTATATTCACCAAAGTCTATTTCAAGAGACAAGCGTAGCATGTTATCTTCTTAGATACTAATGCACAGTTCGACATCTTATCTTTTGAGGGACAATTAGAGATAGGTCTTTATTTAACTAGTATTTGTTATAATTTATGGGTTGTCAAGGGTAGTTGTCTCCCTTTGTATTTTTAAAATGGGAACTCTATGTATGAGTTGAGAGAAATGATATTTTAGTCATATCATACCTCTCATATTCTATCTTCACTTTCACATTGTACCACAGTACATACAATACATGCATATACATATATACATACATCAAGTCTGGTGATAATATGTGAGGTAATATAACAGTTGAATTTCATATCATAGAGATGAAGAGAAAAGAAAAGGAAGAATAGGAGAGATAAAACTTGAAGAGAAGGGATAGAAAGAGGTTAAAAACTATATCCAACCTCTCTCTAGTTTATTTCAGTCATTCAATTTTATTTTATTTTTGTTGACTTGAGAGAGAGAGAGAGAGAGAGAGAGAGAGAGATGATGATTGGAAGCAGTAGAGAGAAAATATTTGATTCATCATCAAGCCTTATCCCAATTATTTGGGGTCAGCTAGATAAAAGATTTGATTGAGTATAGAAATGAGAGAAAGAGATCTAGTAGATTGAGTAAAAAGAAAAGACAAGTGGGTGGGATAAGATATAAAAAGTGTGAAAGAGATGAAAGAGGACGTTTGAGGGAGAGGGAATGGCCAAAATAAAAGAGAGGAAGTGGGTGGAGAGACGAAAGTAAGAGAGAGAATGAGTTGTGAGAGGAAAGACACGGATAAATTGTGACAAAGATTGAGGGTGATGCTTTTGGAGCATCTCCTCCGCCCCCAAGGAGGAAAACCCATGTGTATCTCATTGCTTTAAAACTATGAAAGTAGAGAGAGATCATAACCTGAATGGAGGATACAAAAGAATTAAGCCACAATTCTACTCACACAGTTGTGTACAACATAGTAAGGCTAACAACTACAGATCTATAAAACCACCTGGCACCCATAACGAACAATAGATTACAATAAAGAACAATGAACAGAGGTATATCTCTGATGCGGAACATCAAAGCCAATAAAAGGTATCATAGATGTGTTTTTGTCTCCCATTCTAAAATGCCTCAAATTTCAGGAAAGACCTCAATAACCCTTAATGTTGACAATAATTAGAAGGTGTTTAGTATGTTCAATCTTCATAAACATGTGTAGTCCTATTACCTGATATTAGTGAATGATATATTAGACAGCCATGTCAAACCCATGCAAATATGTTTACTTCCCTACCTACGAAGTATAAATGGCAACCACACAATTTAAAGATGATGCACATTTTCCCCAAAAAATAAATTCAAGCTTGGATCAAAAAACAAATAGAGATTTATCACAATACTCACAAGAGATACATTATTCAGCATTTTACACATTTGCAACTATTCCAACTCATGATCATGTGTATTTTGATGGGTATTTTGAAATTAAATCAAACACTTTGGGTAAAATGTTGAATCGTCAATCTCTCATGGGCATTCTGATAAATCGCCCAAAAATAAGTGATATTATATCAATTTTAAGCACAATGCACTCTCAATCTAACAACTAGTCAATAACCAAGAAGATCAACAAAAGCCCTAGAGTGAGACCCAAAACACCTGATATTTATCCAATGGATTAAACGATTGCATCATCAAATATTTAACTAACTGAATTAACAAGTATCTAAAGATCTTGTTAACCATCTAATATCACTTTGAAGTCTTATTTTCTTTATCAAAGAAAACGAATACAAGAAATTGAAGAGATCATTAACAGACTTCATCAGATCCCATTCACAAAACGAATTCAAGAATTTGAGGAGATCATTGACAGATAAACAATATCTTCATCAGATCCCATTCACAAAACCTAGATCTTGCAGAATTATTCATGGAAATTGCAGATGTTAAAAAGCTTTTAGCCGAATGAAATAATGTGATCAACCACAGAGGTATGTCATAAAGTTATAAATAAAAATAATACAAGAGGATGATTCAAAGAATAACTAGAATTCCACAATGTGTAGATTATACTCACACAACCACCATATAAGATAGCATCATATTTCTAATGGTAGTAAGATAACTCTTGAGTTGCGGTAATCTAACTATATGAATAACGATGTTCTCATAAGATATTATTAACGCGACGACAGAAAAATAAAATTAGGCTCAACGCCTTTACTGTCAAAATATCTAGTGATATGGTTTAGGTAATCAATAAGTAATGGCATATTTAACATGGAGACTACTTGAAAGAGGACATACAGACCAACCATTTCTTTGAACTCCTAAGAATATTAGATAACTCACAAAGTCAATGAGACAATTGCAGCCGGCACATTCAATAGGAACATCTTGAAGTAGTCAACAGTCAAGTCGCTGTAGACCTATTTCGTGGAAAATTGGGCATCACATTATGCACTTCAGTACGCTGATGCATAGGCTCACATGAAAAATATTTCAAATTACATGGATTACGATATGGCAAAGCTAAACAGTAGATGGATGCAAGCGTGCTGTTATCCTAAGGATTACATATTGAAAGGAAGTCTGAAAAGCTTTTATGATGATGTCTAACAACTGTAAAATATCCAATATTTCTTTCAAACATGCACTATGTTCCAAAACCTTCACTACATCAATGAAAAGAAGAATTAGATGTAAGCACCACAGATATACACTTTACCAATAGTTCCCTATTTAGTATGATTTCTCAAACAATGTCACAGAAGTTCCCAAACGAAAGTTTTCATGCTTGAGCATTATTCTGTCAACTAGAGAACATTATAGTATGAGGCGATAAACAGTCCAGGGAACCAATTGGTAATGAGAGATTCCATTGACTTAAGCATTATCAAATCAACCACGAAACAACCAAGAACAAAGCTCCCAATGATGTCATTTACGAAGGATACAAACACAATTTACAAATTCATGCTTTCTACGTCCACTCGTACATTGTGAACATAATAAGAAGGAGTGCCCAATGCATGAACTGATCCACAGTAAAAAATCCTTGTATGAGCATGCTACTAACCCAAATGCAAGACCCTTGACAGAGAAGAGACTCACAAATATTGAGTTATCTTATTTACAGCAAGGAAACTGTGCATCTCCCGAGTCGATGTTCGTATTAAGCAGAGTTATTATCCAATTTCTGACTTAAGCGAGCGCACTCTTTGACAATAACTATTCTTAATATCACAAGACCAAGGCAAAGCATGTTTCTGCATGTTCAAACAGATTCCGAATGGGTGACCAGATAGTTCGCATGTAATTGTTTCATCACATAATCCATGACACTCACAATGCTCTAGGTTAGAGACTTCAATTTCAATTTTCAAGTGATCTCTCTATTATAACTTCGATCAGTTCAAATCAGAAAGCAATTCATGTGAGCAATGCTCAACCACTGACTTCTATATCTTTGTCGATCCTCCCTTACCTCCTAAAAGAGCTAGAAACACAAATGACTTCTTGTCACAAATTATTTGGCTCTAATAATTCTTTTTAGTTGCACAAAAGTCTTTTTGTGGTTTAGAAATTTCAACTCTTTTTTGGCTTTAGTAATTCTTATTCTATTTTGGCTTTTACCTCATTTTTGGCTTCAGAAATACTTATTCACTCAGATGCTTTGTGATAATAAAGAGGTTTCGTACACATCCCACTTTAATGTAATTTGGTCCCATTTTGGCTATTCATGATTAGGCAAGTCAAATAGAAAGAAGTTAACTTTCACTTTGTTCAACCAACATAAAAATGTATCTACCTTATGGTTCTTCACACAGTTTTTATCAAAACTATGTGATCGTACAAGCAAACAATCTTATAAAATGCTCTCATATTTCACATGGGTAAAAATTTTAGGCTTTTACAACACTAGTTCGACAGTTGACTTAGTGATAAGTGTGTAATTGAATATTTTACCACTATGCAGATTTTTCTTTGAATATACTTCATATTAGAAATTAAAGGCCATACCCCAGTGAGGTCAAAAGTCCCCATATCTTTTCGGACTCCTTCCAACCATGTCCTTTTGGGCCTACCCCTTGCTCTTTTCAATTCTTCCACTTGAACTAACTCACACCTCCTAACATATGTTGTACTGGGTTGGTGCCATACATAGCCAACGCATCTAAGTTTGCTCTCTCTCATCTTATTACCTATTGGTGCCACATCTAAATTTTTCTAAATAGATTAATTTTGAATTCTATCCCTTCTTTTTGCCACTCATCCATCTCAACATCCTCATCTCCGCTACACTCATTCTACGGGTATATTGTTTTTCGTTCGCTCAATATTCCGTCATAGAGAAAAATTGGTCTCACAGCTGTCCTATAGAACTTGAACTTCAGCTTCATTGATATGCGGCGATCACATAAAATTCTATTTGCAAATCTCCACTTCACCCACCCAGCTCCAATTCTGTGTGCAAGGTTCAAAAAAGGCATATTCGAGCGCCTAGGTGTTTTGGGTGTTTGGCGGCCAAGCGCCCTCCTAGGAACAGGGTACCCCCACAATCCTCAAAAAAATTGAAACCCCTCCCCCCCTCCCCTTGACATGAGTTTTAAATGAACATATAAGATTTAAGATGTTACTATGTTAGTTTTACTATAAGACTTTACGCATTAAGATATCATATAATTGAGAATTTAATAATTAAGATATATGACATGATATCATTAAGAAGTTAGTTTCAAAACAATATCACTTAATATTACTTTACAATAAGACTTAAATGAATATGTAAGATCTTAGTTCACTTTAAGAATTAAGACTTAATTCATTAAGATATCACATAAATACATAATCAATTATTTATCAAATAAAAAAACAAAAATAATAGAATAATGAAACATGACACATTGTACAAAAACATAATCAACTATTCATAAAAGAATACAATATATGCTCAATTTCATCGTCTAAATGAGAAAAAAATTAATTAATCACAAAAAATCAATCTTTTTTACCTACAAACATGTAAATATATAGTAAGAGGAAAAAAAAGTAAGAGAAAATATACATTATTCACAACATAATATATTGTAGCAAAATAAAATCCAAACCCTCTTTCAAATATGATAATACTTTAAAGATAAAAAAATCAATTCGATGTCAATGCAAACTTCATCTATTGGGTCACCAAAAGTTCTCAAAATCAACTACTAGAAGCTCTAAATCATCCCACGAACTATTGTCTTTGTTTTGTGAAGAAATCGAAAAAATATAAAAAAATTATCGATCTTTCGTTAAATCACAAAAACGTGGTTTTTGGGGGATTTTCTCACCTTAAAAGCCACGGTATTTGTTTTAGGGGTTTAAACCCCCCCCCCCCCCCCTCAAAAATTCTTTTCCCCCCTAAAAAGTTAAAAAAATTTACCCTCACCAAGGTTTTTTTTTCGCCCGTCCGCAACGTGCCACAGGGCGGTGCCTAGGAGGGCACCCAAACAGTAGTGCCTTGCCCGACTAGGCGGCCTCCTAGAGACAAAGCCATAATGACCCCACCCAGAGATCGAGCGGCCGAATTTTCAAACACTATCTGTGTGCGACATCTTCCTCGATCTCTCCATTTTTCTGAATTATCAACCCACGATATTGAAAGTGTGGTCTTTTTTGTACTTCCTCACCGTCAATCTTAACTACTTTCTCGTCTCTACTCCTATTATTATTAAACTTGCATTCCATATATTTTGTCTCAGTCCGGCTAATTTTAAAACCTTTAGATTCTACAGCATCCCCCTAATGAATTTGTTGATGATACTTTATATTTTTTAAGCTCTTGCAAATAAAATAAGTCAGATCTTCCCATGAAGAGGATGAATTTAAGATGCACTTCACAACCAAACTGAAGCAGATCCCAAAGCAGGCTTCAGAAAATTGACTTAAACATAACAAATCTTCACAGACAACTATCCAGCTCTACTAATACACTGGCTTAAGCAGCATTTGTATTCACTGAAGGTTAAATCCATGCCAAAGTTTATCTAAAACGCCAATGCATAGGATAGAAACACCAGGACATCCATTCCTAGTGACTGCCATATAGAAAATTACTCTAGACAAGCAAAGGCCCCTCGACAAGCAAAGGCTGCTCTTTACAAGCTATGACTCAAAGTTTTGCATAACGTCATGGTTGAAGTACAACTATATCTTATTTTATGACAGAACAGTGCAATCACAGATCATTTTTTAACTTGTTCTTGTTTTTATTAGAATGCTATCAGTTTAATCTGTCCAATTTTTCCAATATTCAGAACTTCTCTCTCTAGCTAGAGATACTACTGCAAACATGAATAAATGAATGAGTTGTGAAGCCTGAGATGTTTTAAAGATTTTTCACCATTTATGATTTATATATCCTCTACCCCATATGATAGGATGAAATCAGATGTATAATTTGTATACTTTGACACTAACAGGTAACAGCGAGAGGCAATCCATTTTATGAAACATGGCATTCCACGTCATTCGCAATGTCCATTCAATAGAACATACAACAATCCATGGATTTGAGACAATTCAAATTTTAATGAAATTCGGATCTGAATTATATTCCCTAATGCATCATACTACATTCTAGTGAAAGGAAACGTTTGCGGTAACTCAAGGATATGGCTGGTGAACCCAACTGAATATTACTAGTAAACATTACATAGAAGAGGCAGGCAAGAAATAATCCAAACCTTTCTACTTCTGAGACTGCAACGGGGTCCCTCTTGCACAATTTTGCTTCCTTCTTGCTGTAGAAGATGAAATGTAAATGAATAAAATCCAACTAAACAAATCACTTAAGAAATGATAAGGCCACTATCCTGAAGTAACAATGACTTCAGCTAATAATTACTTCTAGCAATGGACCATTACAGCATTGCCTTTTACAGTAAAATTTCAAGTCACACTAGGTCCATTTGATCATGCATGCTATCCAATTAGTAGAGGCAGTGACGTAGCATCCCCAACTTACATTGTAAAATTCTTATAAGACTACAGGACATAATAAAAGCTGCCAAAATCATTCTGCTCCAAAACTAACCATTGTATTTTGTTGGAAGTATTGATACATAAATGGGTTGATGAAAACCTCAATCTAGATACATCAACAGGAAGACTATAATATGCACCTTATAGTATTCCGACAAAAAAATGAGTTTTTGACAAATCTGAATAGCTCCTTTAGGAATGAAAATATAACCTTGGAACATTTGTATCATTATAATATAATGTTTTAGTCCTTAAATTTAAATAATAAAGACAGCATGACCCACATGCATCCCCTGAAAGCATGGATATATGCATACATTTGTATATTAATGTGTTCATATATGTATGTTTATATGCACATATTCATATGTATGTTTGTGTGTGTGTGTGTGCGTGTGTTATCTTTACGCCTAGATCCACCACCCATCAAATGGATGGCCAGTGTTCACTAGAAATGGGGGGACTCATTTTGGCCCCCTTTTTGTGCACGAGTTTTTTTTTTTTTGTTGATCCCCTAGGTGAGATGAGATGAGCATGTATGCAACATCTGGAGTCTAACACATCCCTCTAGCCCCAACAGGCTTATGCTACAGTATAAGATCCTTGGTTTAGGATCTTTTCCCTATATGTATATGTGAGCATGTTTGAAGGACAAAGATTTGGTCTCCTCTAGAGCAGACTGTACAATGTCCACTCTACATCATTTTTGAGAGCTTTGGAGACATTTGTTTAGACTTTTATTTGGCACACACTCTCTTGCATCCGAAAAACCAAGATTATGAAAAGTTGACAGAAACAAAACCATAGAAAATGGTTTTTTGAGGAGAGAGAAACAGTATATAAAAGCCATGCAGTTCAGGTGTTCTAAAATAGTGTTAGATTGAAGCCTTATAGGTTTTTTGAACCCCAAATTTTGTAGACTGCCTCATCATCACCAAATTAATAATTTAGAAAGAAGAAAAAACTGAATTTGAGTTCTCTAAAATGTAGTTTTGACCATCCAAAAAATGGACATTGTGTGCTCGCTGCTGCTGCAGGTAATTTTGGCACTAATGGAGTTTTTTTTTCTCTTTCTTTTTTTAAAAAAAAAAAATATTGTGGCGTGGCCTCTAGGGCAAGTAGGGATTATCTCCCAAAATTTGAGGTCCAGAGGATCCCATTAGCAGAGGCTTTGAGCTAGGTGGAGCAAATATTTGTGTGTGTCTGCACGCATGTGTATGTACATAAGTGTCTATGCATGTATATGGATGCAAATAGAGCTACAAACACATCCATGGACAGACTTTGTACATATATAAATAAAGGCATTCAAAGAATACAACTGCACATGCCAATGCTTACTGTACAATTATCTAACATGCCAGCCATTCAAAATTCAAGTGTGCACACGATTTTTTGGAATGTATATGCACCTTCTCACACATACATATGTGTGTGTATCATTCATCCATATGTATACAATTGTAGAGAAACAGAGAAATCCATACGTAATATACATCCTGGGTGTCTAAAATGTCTACATAAAGATCCACGCCAACATTCATGTCCTCTCAGTTCTTGAAATCTTGGACATACAGAGAGCTATATTGACAGAAAATTAAACAAACAAACCAAAAAAAATCAAATGATACAGTATACTACAATTTAAAATGGACCAAATATTCAAGAAATTACAATCAAATCATACATCAAACAAAATTTATATAAGCCTAATGTTCTTCACAATTACATACTTTCAGTCGTAATTTTAGCTGATCAAATTCAGCATCACTCAAGATTGGCTTTCCAGCAACATAAGCCATTGAAGCTTCCAGAAGCTTCTGCTCATCTGAACCTGGGAAGCGTGCAAAACTTCCAAGGTTAATTAAGACCCAAAAAGAATAATAATGAAGTAATGCTGAAATAGTTTCACAAACTTGCTGGAAGAACAATATAATCTTAACAAATTTTACACAAACATGCGGAAGTTGTACACATACTGAGCATGACAACACTGCTTCCTTCCCACATCAATTCTTCTTTGAGGTTGTCGAATTCCTCATTTGTCATGATTGCCTTTTTATCATAATAGAATGACTGGATTCAAGGGAGTAATGGAGTTATACTTGCTTTCAAAATCCCATGGTCCAACACAATAATAACAAGAATACAAATTTATTACTTGATATGCGTTCAAATATAATATCAAACATTAGTTAAGTATCTTTTACTTGCAGTGCTTGAAGAAATTCGGTTTCAAGTTCCCAAATATAATATCAAACATTAGTTGAGTATCTTTTACTTGCAGTGCTTGAAGAAATTCGCTTTCAAGCTCCCCCAATGTCTTCTTTCTTTTGTTGTCTATGCTGCAATACGGTAAAATATTGTCATCAGAAGCTTCACCTTCTTTGACCTGGCCTGCAAAAAGAACTTAAACCCACCATAAGACATTTATTCATATCATGACCATGTCTAAGTTTCGTAAGGGCAGGCCAATAAGAAAAGCATGCAACTGAAGCTCAAAAGCCAAATATATCTATCAATTATTCTTGTCTAAAGATGTACACACATGAAAAGGCACAGTGCAATACAAGCTAGGTCAAACCAAGGAAGAATTTAAACAAGCAACAGAAGGGATAAAACAATAAAACCCTCTATGCTATGGAATCAACTTCTGAGTCTTAAGTGTTTACAAGGAATGATGGACTCTAACAGTTAAAGCAAAAGTATCAGATGTCATAACTCTTTATTCTCACCGTTATTTCATGTTCTTTTGTATCCTTTGGTTGGTGCCATCCTCTTGTTTTTTTCTTAAATTGTGAGGGCATTTCGATCAAAGTGAAGTTTATACATGGGAGATATTATATTCCGTAGTTTACGGTATTGAGAATGTTTTGAAGATACATATTCTTTGTTCATGCATTCCATGGCTTCTTAATCATTAGCATTGTGACAGAGCATGTTTTGCTCAAAGACTTTGATAATCATATCTGTATACCAATAACACTTTTTAGTGACTGTACCAAATTCTTCGGTAGTACCAATGGAAAAATATTTTACAATTATGAATTCTAAATTGCACCAGGTGTTGTGTTTTCAAATATTTTGTTTTTAAATGTTTGTTTTACCCTATAAGTTTTACCTAGAGTGATATTTAATTTGGATAAGAGTTTTCATTATTATGAATATGAAGTTTTTCCTAATTCCTATAAATCCTGGGGTTTTAGAAGTGTATCAAAAGATGTGCATCTTTGACCAGCTAGGAATCCAGTTATAAAAATAAGCAAGTTAAACATATATAGGTGATTCCGCAAGGAAGACAATTTGCACGAGGTTTCAATGTTCCCCAAGCTATGATGGAACCTGTCATCCAGGGTGACAAGCAATATTCAGGATTCATGTCATGTACTTCATTTTTCTTTCCATCTGAGCTCATGACCAAGTTCCTAAATCATTGAATTGGAGGAATAAACCCTATGACAGGTATCTCAACTAAATTCATCTGTCTCAATCAGGATTTAATTGGAGAAGCTGTTGTTTTGGAGGATGGCTCTTCAAACCATGTTCACAGAAAGAAGACTTTAGGATTTAGACATTTCCAGATATCAGGAAAAAAAAAAAGACGTCCTCATAAGAAAATGATGAGTAAATTTTTTCTGGACGCACATAATTGGAGTTGGTTAGGAACCTCTCTTTTTCTCCCTCTCTGTATCTCTCTGGGCCACAATGCATATAACAAATTCTGGAATTCATGGAAGAACAAAGTACAATGCACAATCCTTCACGAACCTGTTAACACTAACTCATGCAATTAAACTAGAAAATACATGCACAATCATTCACGAACCTGTTAACACTGAATCATGCAATTAAACTAGAAAGTACAGAGTTCACAACGTGCAATCCATGATGATCTACCTTTAGAGATATGAACAGAACACCTCAATTACCAAACCAAGTAACAATCATAGAACCTAAAACACACAATATTTTATTTTTAGCTGCCTACAGTCCGTAACTATTTCGTAGAACTGTAGAAGTGAACATAACACCTCAATTACCTAACTTCCATTCCAGCAAATAAAGGATCAGAAAAAACCATGACAATCAAAGTACTGACCTTCTTTCTGATCAGTGGCTCGTGCAATTATTGATCCTCTCAAGGAGAAGGAAGCAGGATCGCTTCCAATAAATCGAGAAGAGAATCGAAGACGTTCAGGTGAGCGCAAGAAGAGACAGAGGGGAGAGAGGAGATAAGACGATGAAGATGAAGGGAAGGGCCTGCAGAGCGGGGAGCCAGATAGACGAGAGGAAGTAGAACTGGATGCTCGAGACGAAGCCGACGAAGATGAGTGAGGAACAGGGAGAGGAGAAGTGCGAGACAAAAACCCTAATTCCGCCATGGCTGCCATGACTGGGGTTGCAGAGTTGCTGTCCAGTGGGGGGCAAGAGAGAGAGGAAGATAAGACGCGGATAACGTGTGGCGGGAAACTCGTAGTGTGAAATTGAGGCTTACGAATTTGAGGGCGAGATATTTGGCCCGTGTTAGTTTTGCCAACGGTCGACATACGTGACAATAGAGGGCACATTTTGAAACTGTTCATTGTGATACATGTAGCATATCTACATTGTGATACATGTCATCTTCACTGTCATTGCTAGAGATGGAGGGTACAGATAAACATTTTGTTTTGTACAAATTTGGTATTAGTACTGCTGTTGAGGACGAGGCCCCGTCTCAAACCGGATAACAAAGATGAGAATTATGTACCATGAAATTGGTATCATACATTTGTCTATAGAGTACAACTAACTTTTGTTTTTTATTCTTAAACGTTGACACCTGGCTTAGCTCATCTTCTAGATATTTACGGGCTTTCGTTTTGTTCTTTCTTTTTCGACTTTTTTTTTTTTTTAACGTGGGCTTCGTACTCTACAAAAATTTTGAAAATTTATGAAAACATGGGTTTAAACAAAGTTGAATTACTTCAGCAAAATAAGTTTCTTAAATTTATTAGTCACCCAAAAATACTTTACTCAATTTTTGCAATTATGATGTCATTTACAATGTTGGTAAGTTTGTACATTAATATTGTAAAGATTTTGTTGATCATTAAAATTTCATGTTTTTATGGTTTTTTAAAAAAAAAAACATGGATTGAGGATTCCTGAAATAACTTGTAAAAGTAAATCATATAATGGCTAGATAAAAAAGGTAGATCGACCATTTAAAAGTGGGTTGCATAAAAGTGGATTACATATAAAAGTGGGTTGCATAAAAGCCAAAGAAACTTAATCCTAATTAAGAAGGTAGATCGACGATCATGTAAATACAATAAGATTATCCCGAGAGTTTGACTATACAACATAGGCTTGTGGTTATGAATGTTTGTATAAAGCGAAAGAAGATAATGGGTGAAATTAATAGGTATCCAATAACTAAGTGGTGTGTGATTTAAAAAATGAGAAAATAGATTTAGGGATAAATTAGTTAAATAAATAAAATAAAACTCTGAACACAATATCAATGTTATTATGTGGAATGAGAAAGTGGAAAAAGAAGTTTTAAGATAAACTAGAGGGGAAAGATATTTCGATAAATAAACTTGGTGGTAGAGTGATGAGGTTCAAAAGGCCCCAAACTAAGAGAACCGCTAAACAAACAACAAATACGGCTAAACTTAAAGCATATGCTAATCAATATAGTAAACTAGGGACCAGAAACATGTATTTAAATTAGTAAAATTGAGAGAGAAAAAGTGTGAGGATCTAGACCATATTAAATGCATTAAGTGTAAGGGTCAAATGATCTTGGTGAAGGGTGAAGATGCCAATGAAAGATGGAGAGTTTATTTTCAAATTTTATTAAATGACGAACTTAATGGGAACCCAATAGTAGAATGAACCGTTGACATAAATAAGGGCAGAAGTCATAGATACAATCATAGTATTAGGATATTAGAAGTGAAAGAAGCTGTGAAGAGCATGAAGATAAAAAATGATTTTGGACCAAATGGTATCCCGATAGATGTTTAGAGTACTTAGGGAAGATTGACATTGAGTACTTGATTAAGATGTTAAACAAGGTGTTGACAACAAAGAAAATACAAGAGAAATAGAGAAAAAGTAATATGCTACCTATTTATAATAAGAAATGACACATACATAATTGTATGAACTATCGAGGGATCAAATTTATTAGCCACAATATGAAGTTGTGGGGAGAGTGATTAAGTAACGACTAAGGCATGAAACGAGTGCATCAGAAGACCAATATTGTGTTATGTCGGGGAGGTCAACAATTATGGCTATTTTCCTACTTAGGCAACTGATTGATAAGTTTAGAGCGAAGGGAAAAGACATCCACATAATCTTTATTAATTTAGAAAAAGATTATAATTGAGTATCGCAATATTTAATTTGGTGGGTAATAAAAAAGAAATGAGTCTCCAATACTATATGAACTTAGTGAGATATATATACAAGGAAGCTAACTAGTGTGCAACTAATGGAGAGACGAGTGGGTTTTCAATGACAATAGGTCAATATCAGGGGTTAGTGTTAAGCCCATACCTCTTTGTATTAATTATGGATAACTTAACTAAGCACTTACAATATGAGGTACCATGATGTATGTTGTTCGTGGACGACATGGGTTTGATCAATGAAACTCGAAGTGGCGTCAATACAAAGTTATGACTTTGAAAAGATGCTCTAGAATCTTAAGATTCTAAAATTAAGTGGGCTAAGATAGAGCATATGGACTACAAAGTAGTAATAATATAGTCCAAAGTAGTAATAATACAAGTAGAATTGAGGAAGTAGTTAAGATTGATGGCCAAATAATACAAAAAAGAACATACTTTTCAGTATCTTAGGTCGATAATCTTGAAAAATAGTGAAAATGAGGAAGATGTAATGCATAAAGTTATAGCTGGGTGGGCGAAGTATAGATGTGCAAACGGAGTTATGTAATTGCTACATACCAATGAAACTGAAGGGGGAGGGGAGTTCTATAGGACAGCTCTGAGACTAACTTTGCTTTTATGGAGTGGAATGTTGGGCGGTCAAGAAACAACAATGTAATTGAGATAATGATACGGATGAGTGACAAAACAAGAACTAATAGAATTGAAAAGAAGGGTTCGAATTCAAAATGAATACATTCTGGATAACTTAGGTGTGACTCCAATAGACGATAAGATGAAAGAAATTATACTTAGATAGCTTGGGCATGTGAAACGCACACCCAGTACAACACCTATTATGAAGTGTGAGTTGGTTCAAGAATAAGGCTAAAAAAGGGTAAAGATAGACTTAAAATGACATGGTTAAAAGTAGTGATAAAAGATACGAGGACTTATGGCTTCACTGAAGGTATGACCCTTGATAGAATAGAATGACGGATCATGATTCGTGTAGACGACCCATAATAATTGAAAAAAAGTTACGATGATGATTATCCCTAGAGAAAAATAATAATAAAAAGAGAGCAACAATATAATTTTTTTAAAATAGCTACTCAAAAGCAAATTATAGTCTTCAAATGAACGAAAGAATAGACATCGATAGAAAGGACAAGCGAAAAAAAAAATTAAATAGCATCTACGAAGAAAATATAATTTCCCAATGAATGAAAGGGGTAAAAAAGGTCATATGTTAGAAATAAAGAATACAAATCTCGTTGTCTTGAAAAGAGAGGTAAACATAAAAAGGTCATTGTGTGTACACAGAGTGACCCTCATTGTAATATGCCCACGCGAAAGTTACTTCCCTGTAAAAAGGGAATTGTTTCATGCGGCGAGGAACGCATTTCTACATTTGTAGTCTTCAAGGTGTAAAGTATCTATTTTAAAGATGAGTGCAAATGGGTGGTCTATTTAAAAATAATTTAAATCAACGGTCCAAATGTTTTTTTAATAAAATTATTATTTTTAATTTTTAAAAATTTATTTATTTATTCATATGCATGATCTCCATGTTAGAGATTACATGTCCTTAAAAATTAGGTCAAAAAATCCATATCAAACATAGATTATTAAGAGGTTATTTATACATGGGACTCATAAAAACCGTGTCCTTATAAATTTTTATAATAATAAGGTGGGTTCCCTGCATGAATCCGATTGTGAAAGAAATTAAAGACTATGTGTCACTTTATTCAATTTTTGCCCAAAGTATATAAAGAGACAATTTAATTTTAACACGAGGAGGTCACAATCATTCTTGTCTATTGAATTTAAAATCAGGTGGTTGTGAACATGTATGTCACTAATTAGACTCAAAGTTCAAGCAAAATTTTTTCAAGCTTTGAAACACATCCCAAGCTATCAAATTTGATGGCAATGGCTAGGAATAATTATGAAAATTAAAATTTGGGTTGGTGCTGGATACTCAAAAGGTACACAAACACCTTTTAATGGTTAAAACATCTTCATCCAAGGGCTAAACATATTTTGCTGTCATTTTTATTTTATTTAAAGTGATATTAATCCAAAATTTGCGTTATAGCCTCGTTTTTACGAGTAGAATTAAATGAAATAATTTAAAAATATTTTAAATAAAATTATTGATCGAAATATATTTACAAATATTTTAGTCATTTTTTATCTAAAATATTTTTAAATTATTTTTATTTATTTCTATTTATAAAAATAAACATACATCTTAAAATTAAAATAAATTATGAAATTAATTTTTGGCTATAAGATATAGCTTTTTTAAATCTCAACCATTGGAAAGGATATTGTGCAATCTTTGACCTGTCCACGTGATGTGAATTAATTCATTTTGTTGGGAGGGAGGGACGTCAATGGAAATCATCTTTTTGAAGAGACAATTTTGAAAAAATAAAAATATGACTTATTGACCAAAGTAATGATCACATGAAATATAAGAAGTCTTATGTGATTGATATGAGTAGATATATCATCCATCTATTACTTAAAAATGATATATAGATGAGCCACTTTTTAAGAAGTTAACCGATATCCTTTTCATATTCATCATTATCCCATTGACCCATTATAAAATGGATCACGTGAGGGGTTTTTGTGTTGTTCCTCGCCTCGTTTTCGGGCTTGCATCTCTCTTTGGTGGGCATACATTGAAAAATATATGATGTTTAGAGAAAAAGTTATTTCATAAAAAAAAAAAAAGAGAAAAAAAGAATTATCATTCTCTAAGAAAAAGAGTGAAAAAATTATCATTCTTTTAGAGAAAAGAAAAAAAAAGGGAGTTATTACTCTTTGAGAGAAAATAAGAAAATAGAGTTATATTTCTTCTTAGAGCAAATAAGAAGATGAAAGAGAGTACGTGATCATCTTCTTAAACATTTTCTTTGTATAAAAAGAAAAAAGTGAGAATAAGAGAAAAAAATAGAAAGATATAACATTTTTTTTAAAGAGAGAGAAAACATCTAGAAATAATAAAAGTCTCTAAGAGAGAAAATAATATTAGACAAGAAAACTTAGATAGAAATCTCTAAATCTCTAAATAGAAATCAGCGTACTAAAAAAAGTTTGTTTATTGGAAGACTATTGTAACCATTGAGTTAATAGTGGATTTGTCTCTTTTTCCCGTGGACGTGGCTTGAAAATAAATCAGCGTACCCAAAAAAATTTGTTTATTAGAAGACTATTGTAACCATTGAGTTAATAGTGGATTTGTCTCTTTTTCCCGTGGACGTAGCTTGAAAATGTGAACCGTATAAAACTCTCAATCTCGGAGCCAGTAAGTTATTTGCATGTTTTCCCACTCACACACATATATATATATTGATTTTTGGTATAGTTTTTGTATCCCATATATCTGCATTCCGCTGCGTGCATCCGCATTTGTGTGAGAAGACTCTAATTGGGTAAGCCCAATACATATAAAATCAAAATTAGTTAGTTCAAAAACAAAATAATTTTTGCAAAATTGGGTTGTATCCACCACTCTTTGTATTATCATCAATATTTTGTCATTTTCTGTTATGGGATTGTTTACAAAAAGACCATTTATTTTTCGTACGTGGAGGTCAGAATCATTCTCACTCACTATATGTCAAACTGGATGGCTTGGAGTGAGTTACGAACTTCAAAAAAAAATAAAAAAATTAGAACTTTGTGTCTATTCAATAACACTTTTACAACCACCCATTTTTAAAATTTAAGAGACAATAATGATTGTGATCTCTTTTTACAAAAGATAAATAGTCTCTTTGTAGGTATTTTTGGTATATCATATACTAAATGATATTTAAGATGTTTATAATAATTATAAGAGTATTCTAGGGGGGAAAGTGGTTTATATTTATCTATTTGCATCCCCATAGGCTAAACCATCCATCTAAAGATGGATGTAAACGATGGTCCCTCAAAAAAAGCATAAAATCAATGGTTCTTTCCTTCTAAAAACTATAACTTTTAGTTTTAAAATTCTTTGCTTTTACATTTTAATGATGTCCATATGAGGGATTATATATTCCTTAAAAAGAAGGTCAAATTTTATTTCAAAAATAAATTACAAAAAAGTTTGATGTGAGTAGCAGACTTAAGAGCTTGCTGACCCACAAACATCAATCTTTCAAGTTATCTACAACTGCACGTCACGTTATTCCATGCGTACGGTGCAACAAAATCCCAATAAAATACATCTTAGTTTTTTTTTATAGGATTTTAAAGATCATAAATGCCTAGAATTTAGATAAAGAAACTATCTTTAATGTGGATTTTAAAAGGGGTCTGCATGTGTATATATGAGTTAGACAACACGTAGAAACCCGATTCATAAATTATCCGAGGACTCATAAAAATGAAGGAAAATTGTTTCATGCGGGCTGGATTGCATTTTTACTTATGCAGTCCAGAAGTATAAAGCATCCATTTTAAAGATGGGATGCAAATATGTGATTTAGTTTGAAACAATTGAAAGTATTTTTGCAAATGTTTTCTTAATAGAATTATTATTTTTAGTTTTTGAAATTTATTTTTTCATATTCATGATCTCTATGGTAGAGATTATATATCCTTAAAACTTAGAACAATTGTTTCCTGTGGGTTGGACCGCATTTATACAATATGCGGTCCTGAGGTATAAAGCATTAATTTCAAAAATAGATGTAAATAGTTGGTCCATCTAAAACCAATTGTAACTAACACTAATGTTTTTTTAATATAATTATTATTTCTAGTTTTTAATTATTTTTTATGATCTCCATGTTAAAGATTATATATTTTTTTAAAAATTAAAATCAAATTATATTTAAAAAATATATTTATTACAAAAGCTCATATTTCTACATATGTGGGATGGCAGCATGCTACCCGCGTCCTAAAAATTAAGTCCAAAAATCCATTTCAAAAATAAATTTATTAAAGGGCCCGCATTTCCACATTGCGGGCTTGGCCCGCATACTAACCGCGTTGAATTGGGACAGGCCGAGAGGGTAAGAAACGAAAGGTCACCAACGTCTCTCTCCTCCCTCTCTCTCAAACTCAAACCGGTATTCTTCCCTGCATGGCAAAGGAAACTTAGCAACTCATTCTGAGCACCCTCTGGTTTGATCTCCACAAGAAAAAACCAAATGCCATTTATCTTTGGAAGTTCTTTTACAGTTTACTCTCTCTCTTTCTCAACTTTTTCTAGTTTATGTTTAATACCGCTGATAAGCCTCAGTTTCTGCAAATTTTATATCATGTGTTCTCTTTTGAAATCTGAAAAATAATTCTATTGGTTAAAAGATCCCATGGCTCTTCTCTTATGTGAACTTCTTCAATTTCTTCATGAAATCCAACCATGGTAATTCTCTTCTACCTATCTTTGCCATTTATTTCGCATTTTACAGGAGCCCATTCTTTTTACACTCTAAAACACCTAACAAAATTTCATGCCCATCTCTCTAAGTATGAAGCCACCGCAACCATGCACCGGAAGGAGAGAATCCCTTCAAAGAAACATATGGAAAACCCTGCAAATTCCATGGACTTGGATGACGCTTACTATGTTCAACTCATACACCGGCTTTGTATGTCTGGTCGATATCGAGAAGCGCTAGAGTTTGTTCAGTACACAGTATCTATAGGCCACCCACCCAATGTCCCAGCTTGTACCAGGCTCATTCAGGGTCTCTGTAGAACTAAGCAGGTTGATAAGGCGATTAGGGTCATCAAACTCTTACTGGCTCATGGACTTAGGCCTCATCCGTCAGCTTCTTCAGCTATGATTGAGGGGCTCTGTAAAACCCATCAGTTGGAATTGGCTGTGAATATGGCAGAAGATGCAAGCTCCCTTGGTTTTCCCCTTGAATCTGTTACATATGACACAGTAATTAGAACACTTTGTGATAATGACCAAATAGACGAAGCATTACAGGTTCTTAATCAGTTATTGGAGAAAAACATTTGCCCTGAGCCTTTGACTTATAAAATTTTGATTGAAAAGGCTTGCGACGGGAGTGGCGTTGATAAGGCTATGGAGATTCTCCATTTGGTGTTGGCAGAAGGTCATGTCCCTGATCATTTTGTTTATAATTTTATCATTGAAAGGTTGTGCAAAGAGGAGAGGTTTGAGGAAGCAGACCAATTCCTCAAGAACAAGCCTGAATTGGATTCTTATAGTTACTGTATTTTGCTTGGTAGTTACTGTGATCTTCAGAGATGGGAGGATGCGGCAGGGGTTATATTGGAGATGACCCAATCTGGGCTTGATCTCGACTCTCTCACCTGCAACACCGTGATCAAATCATTTTGTAATGTTGGACTTTTGAGCCATTCTATTTTGGTTTTGGAAGAGATGATTGCTAGGGACATTCCTACCAATACAAAAACTTATGACCTGTTGATAAGGGCATTGTATAGAGAAGGCAGGATCGATATGGCCTTGGAATTGCTGGATTGCTTGTTTTCTAAGGATCCCATTTTCATTAGAAAGAGCTATAATTCATTGATATCCTTTCTAAGCAAAACTGGTAAAATTGAACAGGCTTTGGAAATTATTCTTAGACCTCGTAGAGAAGGCACCTGCTCTCCTGATGTTTCCTCTTACAATACTGTGATCACTGCCTTATGCACCGCTTGGAATATGGAGATGGCAGTGGAGCTCATGGATGCCATGACTAGAGAGGGACTTGCTCCTGATGTAGATACCTATAACAACTTGATGAAGGGATTTTGCAGAGATGGGAGGCTAAAAGATGCAATGAGGCTTATCAAGGAAATGGAATATGGGAAGTGTAAACCTATAATTGGGAACTATAATTCTTTGATAATTGCCCTTTGTAAACTACATGATATAGACATGGCCATTGATATCTTGGCTGATATGGTTAATAAGGGGTTTAAGCCCAATGAAACGATATACATGGCCATTATAAAGTGTATAGCTCAAAGTGGGGACAGGGATTTGGCCAAGAACTTGCTTTATGAGCTTGTTGTTAGAGATGCAGTTTCCCCTGGTACTCCGAAATGGTTGGCTTATCTCTTTTGTTCTCCCGGAAAGAGGAACCGGCGATAATGTTAATGGTTTTGTTGTGAGATATATACTGTTTATACTTGCTCTTATGTTTAACATGGTCAGCCATCATGACAGTAATGAAGTTTGAGAATAAGTTGATTTTTTACATGAGCTCGAGTGCTTCTGTGGAAATGGTTATGTGATGTGGGGCAACTACAAACATGCTTTCTCTTCTTGATTTAGGATATGTTATGAATTCCAAACTGTGCTTTCCTTTTGCTTTTTCTTGTTTGGATAATCGTGGGTAGAGAGCTGAAGATTAGTGCACAAACCTGGTAAATTATCGAACTACATTTTCAATGTCATTCTGCCTAGGTATTTAGGAAGGGTTTCTTTGCAAGGTCCTGTGGAAAAGGTTGCAGCTTATGGTTATTTTTAACCGATGCCTATGTCTATTGGCTATTTTCCAATTTGATTCCACAGATTTTTACAATCAAAGTACTTTTAAATCAGGATTCTTGAAAGATAAATGCATACTTTATTGTGTTGGAATTTCACTGTTTCCTTTTTTCCCAGGAATGTGATCATATTGCAGCAAGGACCTCTCTTTTTAGTACTACTTTTTAATAAGGATAATGTGGTTCCTATCATCAGGTGAGTTGTATAATCTCTTTTCATTTTCTTTATTAGTATCTGTTAGATTTTCACAACCTATGGGTCTTTAGTTATTCCATGAACGCTATTGGTTTTCCTCAGATGTTCTCATGCGGCCTCATAGGAAACATGTATTTGTTAGACTATAGAAAGAATATTACATAATAAGAAATTACATGCAATCAAATACTCACGGACATTCCGAGTTTTTAATTTTAACTCGCCCACCTGACCTGGCAAGTTGACTTGGATGAGATTTTCCAACTCAAAAGCTGAAAAGAAATTTTTATTCACTGCAGTGTTCATATGAGGTTTGCATTAGACTGCATAAGAACTCATTAGTTGTTGTCAGTGTACATATTCATGACCAGTTGTGTATATATGCATGCATCGATGTGCACAAATTCGCATTTGGGATGTGGATAACAACTGGATGTATATGGGAGAGCTGGGACGGCAATGTACAAGAGGTTCATGATTTAAAAAACGGATCGGTACCATGGATCGAGCACAAAAACCCATCAGGATCGGTGAATCCTACGTTTCGGATCGGGAATCGGCTGAATCAGTTGAATTCGGCCTTAAAAACAATTCAAAAAAATTATCAAAAATTATTATAAATGTTGTTTTATAGGAATCCAATAAGAAATGAGGGTACTACATTAATAGCTTTTATTTTTTTGCATCAATAAGCGAATATTGAGATATTCTTTCCCTGTATGAAGGTTCTCATCAAACATTTATTAAAACATAACTATATACAATATTATACATTGAAATTAGAATAATTGATTTGTATTTTATTATTTTATCATCATTTTATTATACACATAAAGTAAAATTAGTATCACATCAAAGTATCAAACATTTATTATTTCGTTTTACTCATCCAAAATATTTATAACCTAACTAAGTATAATAGTATATATTGAAATTGAAGTTGTTGGTTTATAACTTTATATTTTGTAATTATTTTATTATACAAATAAAAAAATCTAAAATATTTTATAATATCATCTAATTTAAAAAATCTTATTTACATTTATAAGAAAAAATAATAAATTACAAAATTTATAATATCAATAAATTGGCAAATCAAATACAAGATTTGGTTATCAATGTATAATTGTTAAGTATAATATAATAATAAGCTTGATTAAAAATTATTAGAAAATGCTTCCATATCATATGATTAAAAACAAAATAAAATCCCCTATAAATTTTAATGTGATCATATTCATATGATTATATTGACATAATTTTAACAAGTTATTAAGATAAATAAACAATACGACTTTCAATATAATTATACTAATTTTTTTAAATGAATTAAATAGAATTTCTTTATGTACTTATATGCAATTAAAACTTAACTATATGTACTTTTATTTTTTGTACATTATAAAAAAAGGAATAAATATTATTAAATAATTAAATAGAATTTATTCATTTATAGTATTAGAAATATTTATAATTACACAACAACACCTGGTGAAAACTACGCGTTATTTTGAAGACGCTTGGAGCGCTAAGGGATGGACTACGCGTTATTATACAACAGCACAATGTTTATTATACGCTTGGAGAGCGCTATTGGATGGACTATGCTTGGAGCACCTGGTGAAAACTACGCGTTATTATACAACAGCCGATGGAGCAAGTCCCACATCAGGGAATTTAGGAAGAGCAAGGCTTAATAAAAAGCCTTGGGCTTGCATGGTTGGTTGTCACATGCAACATGTGCTGAGAAAAACCGCTGCAGATGCGTTGTGCCACGTGGTTTGTGGATGAAGGCTGGGCAATTGTACTTTCCTAGCAAAAAGGTGAGGTGCTTGTAATTTTTTTTAAAAAAATGAAACAGAAGTACGAACGTGGCAGTCCATGACGTAAGCAGGAGACCCCGTGATGTCAGCACTCGGTTTAATGCGGAGAATCGGTCGATCCCGTTTTTTCGTTGGATCTGGCACAGGTTGGACGATACATGATCCGGATCGTCCAATTTTGGATCGGGTCACCAATTTTTAAAACACTGATTTCAAGTACCTTGGGAATGGGCATTCAAAATTGACTTTGTGTGTGTGCATATGTGTTTTCGCTTGTGTATTTGTATATGCACGCACCCAAATCCTAGGAACCAAGGCTTATACTTAACAAAATAAACACAAACATGCCTATGGTTCTCAGCACCATGCATTGTACTAATACCAAGGTGCTATGGTTTCCCCATCAACAATAGATTGGATTTCATCAGGTCCAACTTCTTCAAAATTTAGGGCCTTTAGGACCTCAGTTTGATAAGGAACTTAGGAATATCTTCTAGGCTCCGTCGTAGTCCTTCATATTAGGGTGTTGAGATGGCCATCCTTGCCAAAATTGGAGGAGATATTGCACATGTATAGCATTCACGCAAGTACTGTAGAGATTTCTTAGAGTACACCGTTGAACTTAGGGTGACTCGGGCTGACTTGCCCCAGTTCTACCATACTCATACTAGTCCAAGAACAATCATTGTTGCACAAAATGAAAGGGAGACAAAAATCTGCCCCCCTTTTTCATTTTTCTTGAATATGGGAGCCTTAAAACCTCATATTTCATCCCAATTTCAACCTAACTTAGATTTTCACTCGAAAGGTTTCACACAAAGCATTGTGAAGGCGATATAACCTCAAGAACTCAAGAATAAGAGCATTGAAGAAGGTAGAATTTTATGAGAGACATAAGCATGAAGGAAGATGATCAGGGGATGCTTAAGGAGGTTATTTGGCTAGAGAGCTTCCAGGGTTACTAAGTTTTCTAGGTTCTAGGACAAAAGAATAACCTGATATAGTTGGCAAAGTGAGGGTGTGATTTTGTACCAAGGTAGCGATTATTGGGTAGGTGATCCAAAATCAGCCCAGTGATATTTATCTCATTGTCAAGCGCATTTATGGTCATTGTAAAAACCATTTTAAGTGGGGGCATTACAAGTCAGTTTGTAGAGTTAAAAAGTAGATTTTATGAGGGAGAGCTCTTGTTGAGGTTGAGATTATGGGTTTTGGGAAAACCCTAGGTAGGTCAAACACTAGTTACCATTGTGCCCTATTAGGGTACATTTTTCAATGTTGATGAAGCGACAGTGATGGAGTCCACTCTGGAAGTTGGTTCAGTGGTTCTTTTGTGGTAGTGGAAAGGGGAAGCAATGGAGCTTTACCTATTATGGGATAATCTCGTACTTACGCAATCTTGTAAATCCTTTATGATAGTGAAATTATTTATTTGCCGGTTGCCCGTGGATGTAGCCCGATTAGGTGTGTGTGGATTGTAGTTTGTTATAAGTGGGTATGAGTTTTCGTATTTATTTCTCTTGGTTTCATATTATTTTCCCCAAACCTATTACACCATATATTGTTCTTAGGTGCTCGGATTTCTTTAAATTGATTTTGCGAGTGATAAGCAAGTTGGTTTCAAGGTATTAAATTTACTTTATGGAGGTTTCACCACAAGGGATAGTCAGGCAAGTCTCAGTTCCTAACATAATGTTCACATTTTTAAATATATTTTTTATATCTGAAATTGCAGAATCTAAGGTTTCTTTTCGTGATTACATGTGTGAAGTATTGAGCAACCTCAACAAATTTATCTGAAATATGGTATTAGCCCTTATAATCTCATTTCCTAGAGAGAGTGAGAATTTGTATGAAAAACCTTTGATGAAAACTTGGGAGGGATTATCAAGACAATTGAAGTGGAGTTGGCTTGACATCTGGGATTTTGGCATTGGAAAGCTTTCGCAGATATCGGGAGATTTTTAGAAGACTGTAATGATATTCGGATTTGAGGTACTTTTTTGGCTAATCTTTATAAAAATTTAGCCTGTATTGCTGAAAAAAAGATCACAAATAAACTTCTTCGAGTAATTGATAAGATTTTCATGCCTTTGCCCTTCAGATATCTGGATTGCACCTTTAAAGATATTATTGTGTCTTGGGCATTGAAAGAGTGCTTTCAAATGGGTTTATTGTTCAATCGCAAGAGTTTCACTAAATCTAATGTAACCAGTTTTACATCATTGCTTGCTGCACGGATCATGTTTATAATCACACACCATGTGCAAATGATGGAAATAATTGAATGAATTATCTTTATTATCATAATTCTGTAGGCAAATAAATTTTTTTGAATGTAAATACGGCATGAATGTGTCAATAACCTGTGAAATCTACTGTGAACCTGTGCTTAAATTGATAGACTAAGTTTATCATGTTTGCAATAAAAAATAATGAAGCATTGCATCCTCATATGAAAACTGGAGGAAAAACCAACTACAGTTAAACAATTAGCAACGGAATGTTTTTTGCCCCACAAAAACCTATCATTGGTTCCACCCTGGTCCCAGTGTAAGTCAACTATAGTTTTACCTGTTGTTGACTCCTACACAGTACTGTCTCTGTGGCTTCACCCTTTCCTGTTGTCAACTCCTAGACAGCAAGGTGCTCTGTGGAGAGTTAAGAAATGAATTATTCAAATGCACAT